ACTTGGCCAAACGTGCCACATCAAAACCACAAGTTGACATTGAATGTGAATTCACAATGAGACAAATAAGAAGCAAAATCAGAAATATTCAGGCACAGGCGGGAGTGGAGAGGAGAGAGATAATGTATGAGAGTAGTCAAACCATGCAACACTACATGTATGTGAGTCAAAACACCCATTTCACTTATGGTAAAAGGAGAAATGCTTGGAGTGACTCTGTGTACATGCGGCTCAGGCTTGGGTACAAATATTACTGGGAATATGGGATAGATGTTCATGGTAATGACACGAAGTGTAAACTATGTGGTATGTTAAGGTCTCACACCCTTGCCCATTATATTCTTGATTGTCCGTTGATTAGTGTATATAGAAACACTGAGATAAGGACTGTTCCTGAACAAATAGCCTGGATGTGTCACAACGGAAAGGTTGATGATATTCTTGAGAGATATAAGAATTTTGCACCAAGATTGTAATATTTTGTTGAATTATCTGCAGGTGTCTTGCAAATTGTCTATACAGTATACCTAGGTCATAAAAGTATTTGTGTGTACGTCTGATAACATACTACTTGTGAAGGAGGAAATGTATATGTTTATCTCTCAGAATGTTTGGTAATGTGTTTATTTGTGATGTGTGTCTATGTATATATTAACACGTTGTACTGAATGGGGTGAGAATAGCTTGAGCTACCTCATCCCTTTGTGTGTATTTTACCTCAATAAACTTATTTCAATTTCAATTTCAATTCAATGTTGACCTACCTGGCACTAAGCTGAGTAGACGCAGGCTAACAGTAAGGAAAGAGCAAGAAAAATTCTTTATAGACAGCATAGAACATTGGTATAACAATTATGAGCCTGAGAATGTACGACAGTTTTATGATGACCTCGTAAATATAACCTATGAGGCCATCAAAAATAGTGAGTCACACCAAACAAAAAGAAGTAATGGTAAACAGGTCAGAAACAACCAGTACTATAATGATGTTAAACTGAAAGAGCTTAAATCAATTGCTCGACAGACAGGTAAAGCAGATAAGAGCTTTAGAACTCATCAAATGTTAAAACTGTTTCAGGCCGCGCTTGCAGCGGCAAGAGAGCGAATGACTGAACTGAGACAAAATGAATGGGAGGGTTTTGTTAGTAGACTTAACCTACATACTCCCCTGGGCAAAGCCTGGAAAGGCATAAACAAAATTATCGGTAAAAATAGTAGACAAGTTTCACACCCAAACCCGCTACAGAAAGCCAATCAGTTAATTGCAAAATGGGCTCAGGTTTCCAGCTTTGGAATGTTACCAGCTAGCACTAGGGAGAAATTGCGGGAGAGGTTCACAGACAGAAATTCTCTCATAAATTTCATGTTGAGCAAGCAACATGATGAATGTGATGTTCCATATACAGATTATGAATTGGATGCAGCCCTCTCCAGGGGCAGTAGCACTGCTCCTGGTGAGGACGGTATCACCTATGATATTTTAAGACTCCTACATCGTTTACCCGGTAACCCATTATTAGAATTATTTAATGCCAGCTATGTCACTGGGCAGTTGCCAGTATCATGGACCACCAGTCTTACGGTACCTGTACCAAAGCCTGGCCAACCTGATGCTTTCCGTCCCATCTCACTGACCAGTTGCATGTGCAAAACCTTTGAGAGAATGGTGCTTAATAGATTATTGTATAGAGTTAAAGAGCACGTCACCTGATATCAATGGTTTCACACATGGTAAAAGTGTACACAACTGTATCACAACCTTTCTTACTGTTCATGGAGATAAAAGGCACAAGTACACAACATTTCTTGATTTAAAAAATGCCTTTGATATTGCTAATAGGGAAGTGATTATGTATGAATTAGCGAGAATGGATATAGGGGGACATTTATTACAATGGATACGAAGGCTATCTTACCAACCGGAAGTCCTCTGCACTGTTCCAAGGCTACAAGAGTGAAACTAAAATAATGCAACTAGGCAGCCCACAAGGGGGAGTACTTAGTCCTACCTTGTTTAATGTTCTAATTAATGCTTTACTAAAATCAATCCCAACTAGTCCGGCAAACATCACTATCAGCTATGCAGATGACATCCTTGTGCATACTAAAACCCAACGTGAAATGCAAACAGTCTTAAATTGTATACATACAGCTTGTGAGAGCCTTGGTCTTGTAATCAACGCTGATAAAACTAAGGTATTTAACAGACAAATTGGCAACCGCAAGAGTGAACCACGAAAACTTAAGATAGATAACATACCAATAGACTATGTCTCTTCTTTCAAATACCTTGGTGTCTCTGTCCCTTGTACCTCAACTGCAGTCAATAAGTTACATTAACAATGTAGATACAGACTCAAGGCTCTCAGAACTGTAGTGGGGTTCAGCCCGAAATATTGTGTTAATATTAGAATAGCAAGAATGATGTATTTAGCGTATATAAGGTCTCTGATAGACTATCATGCACCAGCTTTGGTCATGCAAAATGGCAAAAGTATTGATAGACTGGGAAAAATGCAAAATGAAGCACTCAGAATTATACTTGTCTGTCCTATAACTACCAAAGTTCTCAACATGCGGAAAGAATTAAATATACTTAGCATTAGAGTTAGAATATTTGAAATTAATCTTATGATGGGACTTGCTTCTGCGTGATAACAAAAACAACATTGTGTCAGTTGCACTGTTAGAACACATGCGAAATGAAACTAGCGAGTCTAAATGGATTCAAAGAACACCCACTCATATTAAAATGATGGGACTGCACGATGTATATACAGATGAAAGAGTACAGCACTTCCTTCCACCCTGGCAGATAGTACCTTTTGACATCCTGACCCCTGCATACCCCACCAAGAAACTAATCACAAACAACCCTCATGCTCAGCTTGCTGCTAAATTAAGCACCATAGAACACATTCACAATATACAAGCTGAAAACAACATTGCACAGACCATATACACTGACGGATCATTCAATACAGCTACAGGGAGGGCAGGAAGTGCTGTTATTGCTCATCAGCCCGATGGCAGCACAATTCAAAGAAATATCCGAATTAGTAACTGGGCGTCCACAATGCAAGCCGAGTTTGTAGCGATACTGGTAGCACTCGAGATTATTGGCAACACTGAAGTAGACAACTTAATTATTTCTGACTCCCTTTCCTCACTACGAGCAATAAACAGTTTGCAATCAAGTAATAACGTGCTTGTCTTGGAAGCTAGACGTAGATATATAAGAATACTTAGCAAGAGGGTAAATATAAAAATGTTGTGGATTCCTTCTCACATTGGCATGCAGGAACATAACAAAGTTGACGCCCTTGCTAAGGCTGCAGTAAATAAAGACAGTATTGAACGGAATCTTGAGTTATCAAATAGGTCCTTTAAAAGTGTCATTAGACGAGAACTCCTGGATGAATTTGAAGAAAGAAGAACAGTGCAAACTGGAACTAGCAGGTCCATTGTTCATCACAATGAAATGTGTGAAGTAAAACATGTGTATGGGGCAAGTAACAAAGTCAGTAGACTAACAGATGTTGTCACAGCTCGTATAAGACTTGGCTACAAGTATCTCTGGCAGTTCGGCTTGTATAGGGATCTAGATGAAGTAAAGTGTAAAGTGTGTGGACAAAGACAGGGACACACACTCGAACACTATATCTTGGATTGTAGTAAAATTGAGCCTTTTAGAGATAAATCTAAGCTCACTCTGTATAATATGGCAACCTCTCTTATTACCATTGATAAATTATCTGAAATCCTTGCACTGTGTCCACATTTCGCTTCCAGTAGATGAGATTCAGAAACAAGTAGTGTATTGTGAGGACTAATAATAAACAGAAGCTCCCCTATGACTCTAATATTCCCATTGGTCAAACTATTATGTATTAGCGATAAGACCTACCATTAATGTATGAGGACTTACTGTAAATATGTAGCTCTTGTAATAGCACTTTCTCTGTAACTAGCTGACATTGTAACTATAAGGTGTGAAGGATAGAAGAAATTGTTTATGTAATAATCTAAGATGAGGTCTGATAAAGACCTTTTGTGCCCTCTGTAATGCTTTTGCGCTACCGCTCACAGGATGAGTATGGGGTGCACAATAAACTAGCCGCCTTCGGCGGCAACAATAAATCAAAATCCCTCCTGCACCCGAGCTATGTCAATAGCCCGTTCCCCCTCTTCGCCCTTACATCATTAATATGATGCATCACGTTAGTGTGATCTCTGTGTGTAATGTGTGTTAACAAAGATATATTTTTGCCTGGAGAGTGTTTGCTGGCATATCAGCTTCCTGAACCCGACCTAACCAAATATAGCCTCCAGGAAACAATATATTTTGAATAAGTTGCTCCACAACATTGTCACTTGGGTCGTCGACTTCCTATGGCGTCATCTTCCTTTAGTTACGTCTAATTTCGTTATATGATATTATTTCAGAGTAAAAATATGTTTTTTTTATTCTAATTTGTTTACTCTAATTGCATAAATTAAACCAAAATGTCGTTATATTATTTCAGAGTAAAAATGTTTTTTCATGTTCTACATTCAGCACCAACATTATAGTGTGTAAATATATCATATTTCTTCAATACTTAGGTTTTGCTAGGAAGCTTTACAGAGCTTTGGGTAATTAGATGGACCGGGTTTTTAGCTCTGTTGGCAAGTTGTTTTGTGTATGATGTAACTTGCATCCCTCTTGTAGTATCTACAAGGATCCACAATTAGTGAGTGTTAATTTACAGTGATGTGTTAATTATTTGTATAGCACTAGGTATTTAGTAAAGTAGCAAAACGGTCTTTGGACGATGAGGATAAATGCTGCTGTTTGCAAAGGATGGAGAAAATAAAAAAAAATTATGAGATTCTATGTAAACAACCTCATATGCACTTCGAAATAGAATTCCCATTGTGAAGCCAATAAAGCTGTCAGTGCTCTATTGTGGGTGAAGCTAACCGGCACTATTATTATACCGTATATTTCTTCATGCTAGGATGTCAAGAATGGAGAGAATCATCGAGGAAAATTGTGGACACGAGGAGGTAACGAAGCCATTGTCAGAGGACCAACAACATAGAGAAGATGGGCTTGATGGCAGTGGAGGCGCAGAAGCTGGTGCCAGTGGAGATTCAGCAGATGCTGGATCACAGGGAACTACGTAAGATATAATCTTCACAAAAAGTAACATTTAAAGTTAAGCGTGTGTGAATTAATGAATGAATGCTCAAAATAACAAGCTCAAGATTCAAAATAAAAAATAAAGACTCTAGATAAAATCGTTGAATATGTTGCGAAATTATCTAGTAAAATGTAGAAGATAAGTGAAACTGCATCATGGCCAATTTCTTTGTTCCTAGAACATTTTTGTCCATTTCGTCTCCAAACTTCTCTGTGGACTCTATATTATTCTCTAAAATTCGTATTGTATCTAATTCAATGAACTTCATTTTGCACAAACAAATATTTGTGTGTTTGAAATTTGAGTTTCTCACATTTCCCGTACTTTCTCCTTCAATCTGTTCTCTATTTTCAACCTCTGAATTTCATCCTTTACCTACAATTTACTTATAATGAATTTATAGAATAGTCCTGGCTTCATATTTTGTCCACTATCCCTTTCTCAGAATATCTTTCTGCCTCTCTCACTTCTCACTGCCGTGTAGAAAGAGAAAGCTTTCTTGCTTTATATTGCTAGTATATTTGTGGGTTTGGACTCTTCTTATACTGATTCCTTTTTTTGTCTTCTGTTCTCTGCCCCTCTTACTATTCATGTTGAACGAATCCTGCTTCCTACTTCTGCATCTCTGTACTCATATAAAGTTCCTTGTACCTTCATCATATATCTTACGAAGTTCATCAAATTTAT